CTTGGCGGGACTCCGATGGGCTTACTAAGTACACTGGCTAGAGCAGCCCTAGTATACCATTCCAAGGCAAGGTTAGGGTGAGATAGAGATACATATTCGGGTGCAACTGTGAAATGCTTTGCAGGAAACAAAGTCCAACAATTCAGAACTTATCCTCTGAGCACACCCGAACACTCTGTAAGCGCTCAAGTTGTGTCCTCGAACGTTAGCGTCCCTCTCGGCGCTTCCACCGCTGGTCGCTCAGCAAATCATCATGCAGTATCACCCTTTAGGTGATGGCACTTGCAGCGGGCTGTGATGATCCCAGGCTACCCCTGCTCTTCATCACTACCCGGAGCCAGTCACAGCTGCCTCATCATGCAGTCTCGGTCACATCTGCCTTCCAGGGTTCTGACTCGTCCGCCCTAGTGAAAGCCAGTACCCCTCAAAAGGACCATTTAGCCCTCGAAAATCATGGCTTGGTCTTGGTCTTGGAGTTTCTATGATTTTGGTGTCATTTTCCCATTACCGTTGATCTCCCACTCCTAACTGCTTCGTTTATCCTGCGATCGGAGAAGTTAAGTCTGAGTCTTGCTCAGCGACAGGATTCCTGTGCAAGTCTTGCAACTTGTCACCGTCGCTGTTGTATCTCACCATGAGCTTCACACAATCCATATCGCGATGGGCTTCTGTGCTACTCCTGCTATGCTTGGGCCTGGCACACGCTCACACTGTCATCACTTACCCTGGCTATCGAGGAAACAACCTTCACCTCAACGGCACCGTTGAGCAAGCTAATGGTCTTGGTGTTTCCTACGACGTGAAAAATGGCTCATACATCTTCCCATACGGCATGGAATGGATTTATCCTTGTAAGCGACACCTATTTATTCGTCCCTTGTTATCGATCACTAACTCGTTTTTCAAGGTGGTGGCATGCCCAGGTCGACCAACCGAACCAAGTGGCCCGTCAGCGGTGGTGCTGTCGCCTTCCAGCCGGGCTGGTTCCCAGGCCACTCCACTGCCCTGATCTACGTCAATCTCGGCTTCGGCGAGGTTCCACTCAACATGAGCCACCCGGTCGTCCCGCCCTTCCAGATCGTCGGCCCGACCAATAACCCTTACCCGGGTACCGTGTGTCTGCCCCAGGTGCCCCTACCTGCCAATATCTCCGTCAGCCCGGGTGACTATGCCACGATTCAGCTGGTCGAGACCGCCAAGCACGGCGCTGCGCTATATAATGTATGTTCCAGCCCCCCTATTTCCGATCCGGCAATCGATATACTAACTTGTCTCTAGTGTGTGGACATTGAGTTTGCAGAAGATGGCGATCCGTCCGTAGAGACGGTCACTCGCGACAATTGCTTCAATTCTTCGGATATCAGCTTCGAGTACATGTACACCACCACTTCCATTGGTTCGGGTGCGGCGATGCTACAGCCTCCGAAATTATCGGCTGCGGCTGTCGTGCCGCTGTTGCTGGCTGCCGCCTTCGGCGTGTACATGTAGATATTTCGGGTCGTCTTGATTGCATTTCCGTGCGCCTTGTTTTTATCTTTCTTTTGCGCCATACCCCTGGTTTTCATTAATCTATGACGCTTCAAAATGAGTGCTGATGATACCGCATGTCTATGTCTTTCTGAAATGGACTATATAATTGACCTTTTGAGTCATTCTGGCGTTGACTGGTGTTTGGGCTTTATTTCTATAGTTCTACTGAACGAATGTATCTGTCCAATTTGTTGACGATCTTGCGAAGTAGATTTCAACCTCAGCATGCACTTGTTGTTTTGCTCTGCTCTTTCATGCAGCTTCCAACACCATTTGACCGATGGATGGATGTGACCTATTACTCAGTCAGCTGACGGTATCCCAATCCCAAGTCTGTATTAGTTGATTGCACGGTAAGCGGTTCCTTGATGTGGACATGACCTGACCTGACCTGAGCACCTGGGCACTCTCCCGATATTGAGTCAGACAACGGGATGCCCATCGAAAGCAACCTACTTGAAGCAATATTCACCTCAACGAAAATCAAGTTTGTCGCTTCAGCCCGTACAATCCCATACTTTTTTGACTTATGTCTCGAGGCATTAAAGATGACCATGGATGGCGATTACGCTTCTTGTAAAGTAGTTGTCGCTGAGGCCTGCATTTGTTCTGCTTCTTGGACTGACGATATTGACATCTTTCTTAATGTTCTCAAGTTTCAATTTGAGAAATGTGCTGTCTCAAGAAAAGGAATCTTATGGTGGGCGTTTTGTCGAGTCTCTTGGATGTTCACCCTCAGTATATCACTCATCCATGGATTCATCATTTGAAAGGTCAACCAATCGCAAACTGAGGAGCAAGAAACGACCACTGCGCGATTCACACGCGATCTCCCAATTATAAATCGGATGCCCTAACCATTAGGCCAAGCGGCCTGCCCGCAGATCCACTCGCCACTTTGCGTTTTCGGAAGGGCAGACAATTTGCCGACGACAGCTCAGTGAGCAAGACAAGCAATGGGAAGTGCAAGTCGGTTTCAACTCAGACAATCTCCCGACATCACCTAAGGAAAGTGATTTGGCAAGCCATAAGAATTCGCGTCCACACATTCTTCCAAGGCCCAGCCTTGGCTCGGCAATGAACACCTCTCCCGTGTTTATTTTACCTTGTTTAACGTCGACCTGCTGAAGATTCTATCTATAATCATCAATCTGTTACACTGTTTACACAACAAACAGCAACAGACTATCCCATCAAGCACATCTAATTGTCTGTAAGTTATGTGCAATTACCTCCGGGTGGAAGGCTATTTCTAGCTACTGATTCACACTTGATGGTATGTCGAGTTGGCGCTAGACCTTGGAAATGGCCCACTTTGACATTGTTTTGAGCATCTTATTTGCATCGTATCTTCCACCCTTCGTCTCACGTTAGCCGTGCCTAGTGCATCAACCCCCCTCACCCGCCTCACCGTGAACCAAGTCGCTGTTTTAGCCAGGGGTGCTGGGAACATTGAGAATTGGCGGCGTGGAGTTCGACTTATATGCGGCTAGTAGATACTGTCCCGGTAAGGAAGTAGTGAGCCCCTGCCTTATAGTGGAACGACTATAGGTAAAATGGGTGAGATGCTGTTTACAATCATCCCGCCATCGTACGGTAACAGATCCCGGAAGCCAAAATATGGTCCCTGATTATGCATGGAAAAGTGGTCTGTATGCTTTATGATTTGCCGCCTTTAGGTATTCTAATGTCGGCCTAGGTATGTTGTACATCGTAGATGAGCCCGGCATGTCTACTATTCTTATGGCACTTCTATAGCTAATTATTACCCTTCCAGCTATAACATTAAGAAGAAAATTTACCCGTTTTCCCTCATTCCTTAGCTACTATGTGGAGGAATACCATAATTACTTACGAAATACATACTTGTAGTGATTTAGACGTCCTTTTAGATGTCTTTTCAGATATTTTAGATAGAAGCTACTGCCTACATGTATGTAGTATAGGGCGCCTAAGGTTTGCAGGCCCGTGGGTATAAGTGTAGTCATATGACGCCGACCATCATCACCTACAAACATTTCTCATCTAAACCTTTTTACCATTCCAAGGTTTACTCTATTAATTACGTCTTTCCAGTCGCATCCCCCGGAAGCACTTCGTGCAGCTCTCACAACGCTTGGAAATGCACTCGGTGACGAAAAGTACGCCCTTGTCGGCGGCAGTGTTTGCACAGCGCTAGGCTCCCAGCGAGCAACCCAAGATATCGACTTTGTTGTCCTTTGGCGCCAAACCCCTGCAACGAGAAAGCTGCTGCGCAACTCCCCCGACTTTGAGGTTGAACCAATGACATATCACACATATTACAGGGCTGCTGAACCTATGGAGATCGAGATCCTCGCGCCTCCTTTGTTCCAGGAAACGTTCGATTAAACAACCGGAGTGATCACAGTCCGAAACTTGAAGGTTCTGAAGCCAGCATTGCTTCTGAATGCAAAATGCGGGTCTATAGTCCGTCGGGCCAGTGAAGCTAAGAAGAGAACCGATGCCCCGCCCAACTACCAAAGGGTTCTAAGCTTCCAAACGCGAGCAATGGCTTCGCTGAAGCATTCATTGCGAAGTGGAACTCCCACAAAAGCGGCACATTTTTCCAAACAGCCAGACAATAACCGTTCTTCTTCCAGCTCAAGAGTAGAAGTTTCCTCTGATGGAATCACCTGACGATGCGTCTTTCACAACGGACTCACACGAGAATGTGTCATTCCCACCACTACCAGGCTTCCTTGATGCACTGATTTAGAGCTGGCTGGACTGTCCTAGTGATGATGCTATGTTGCTGATTCACTTGGCCTGCCAAATCTCCTATCTTTACGCCTATGTACCCGCCCTAAAACAGCGGTCATTCGCCGAAATGAAATATGAACACCGCCAGTTCCACTTTGATGTGTTGGCAGGAATGGAGACGGGCACTATCCAATTCAGAAAGCACCAACGTGCTATTCGAGATGCATTATTACAGGGCCAGTATGAACTACGGGAATGTTCGGCGTCTCGTGATAATGAAGACCTTTTCGATGCAGGGAGACTGGGGATATCATTTATGAATGGTAGCCAGCGATATTCTACTATCGAGCTTTTTCCATCCTCCAGCGCCTCAAATGCGAAATCATTGTTGATTATCACGGGAATTCAGAATTGGCGTACGAAAGAATAAAGAAGACTTCAAGTAAAACAAAGCCGACCTATAAGATATGTAGTTGATTGTATGTAACCAGAATCCCAACCTACATGCCCATAATATGTCACAAAATAGAGGAAATAATGCAATTTCTAGCAAGACCAGCACAGCAGACTTGTTATT